TGTTATTATCAGTTATTTTCATATGCATGATTCCCGTTCTCATCTTGCCCAGGTCAGGTCCATCAGATGGAGTGGAGTCGCATTGGTTCGCGACCGGCCGTCTCTTGGAACGGGTTGAAAAGAAAAGCGGTTTGGGTTTGGTGGATCTTGTTGTGCAGAGTTCATGGCTATGTGTCACTTCAGTGACCTCTTAAATATCCTTGTGAAGCTGAGGCACTTCGTTGTGAAGAAGCGACTTAGGTGATGTTTTCCGGTCTCAACCTGTTTCTAGGAGCGCTCGGACGCTACGATCGGGGCTCCTAGCCGTACTACTAGGAACAAGAAGCTACGAACGGAGCAAAGGGCATCGCTACTAGGAGCAAGGACGCTACGTTCGGGGCTCCTGGCCTTACTACTAATAGCAAAAAGCTCAACCTCTAGCTTCTCCATTCTCTAGCTTACCCCATGTGCAAAAACCATTCGCCAGGCGATCGTTCGTGATGTCATCGTCACTCTGACGGGGACAAAAACGTCCGACGGTCAGATACGCGGCAGTTCCGAACATCTCTCCGTTCTGGGCCCTGAATGAGCCAGATGGGCCAAGGATGTCAAGGAAGACATGCTGAAACTCTGGAACCAATGTGGAACCAGTGGGAGCAGCTGAACTGAACCTCAGCTGAACCTTCTTCGAAGTCCAGACAAAGACATAGGAGGAGCGAACAAAGACATAGGAAGACTACATTCTTGCAGCCTCGCAGGAGTCGGCTGCCAAATACCCGGCTTGCAATGCGTATCTTGGGGCAGCCAAGATAGCAACCGACACGTCCTAGAGCCCAAGTTCAATGCACCCAGTGGCTTTTCACACTGAGTCTCGCACCACCGACTGCAACACCGTCGCAGTAAACAGTGTTATATATAAAATATCATATATCATGGGCTGGACCCTAGAAAAGAATGTGGCTTGTACAAGTTAGTGTTTTAGAAAAGTCACCTCACAATCTTCGCCAGGTTCCTGGTGCCTCCATTGAACGAGTCCATCCTCTGGCTTTTCTTCATCACCTCGACGGCTCGACGACGGAGACGGCTCAGACCGAAACGGAAACCCCGAAAGCTCTCCTGATCAGATGTAATATAGTGACTTCAACTTTCCGAGTAGATGAGCCGAGCCCCCAAACCAATCAAGCCATGGGTCTTGATGCGAATCCCACCGATTCAACATGGGTCTTCCACGGCCCAAAGCAAATGCCTCTGGCCATGCATTGCCTCCGCTGGCCCGGGGCCCTAGCCAACACCTGGTGGCAGATCGGAAGCAGCCAAGACCTCGACTTGCAGCGGGTCCGCGGCTGGCGCGCACCAGGTGGGAGCTCCTAGATATATCACCATCCTGGAGTAGATAGAATATGCAATCCAAAAACAGGACCAGGTACTTAACGGTGCTTGTTTTGATTTTGGGTGTTCCATGGTGTTCCATAGTCTATCCACTCTTGGACCTAGGATGACTATTGTAATATGATGAATATGATGACATGTTTGAAGAGTCCATTCCAAACTATTCCAAATTGGAAGTGCACCTGTGCAGCGCACCTGTTTGGTGAAGTTACCAAGAAACGTGTGTTTGAAGGAATTCATCCTGCAGGCCCTGCAGAAGGCCCTCCAGGCCCTACAGTTTTCAGCCACAGGTGTCGTAGTCTTCATCAGCGGCATCCCTCCCTCGCGATGGGCCTGGTCCTCCCTCGTGAGCTTGGTCTTCTCTCCTGAGCTGCTCAGTCTGCAACAAAGTCTATGAGTCTCTGAAGCCCGACCTGCTGAGAAGTTACAAAGAAGCACATCTGGATACAAACTGCCTGGTTCATCTACAAATCACTTCATCAGAATATCTAAAAGCATCTAAGGCCGCTGGGATCCAGTATAAACCCTCAGGACCACGTCCTTGATTGATGTTACGTCGTTGTGGGCACCCCAACGGACATCGCAGATGGACTGGGACGACAGGTGTTCCCACTTCAGGAAAAGTTAGGGACGGGGTTGAAGGGATACCTGATCCACTGTCACAAGGGCGGTCTCCATCCTTTACTACGGGAGAACAATGGAGAACATGTGCATCGCTAAGTTTGAGACTCGCACATGTGCACCTAAGGCTCATGCCATTTCTTCTCGCAGCTGCAGCTGCTCCCTGCTTCCAGCCGTTGCCTGCTTGGCCGCACCGCACCCCAAAAGAAAGAGGTCAGTATGCCAGTCCCATGAAGTAGAAAAGAAACACCGAACTCTCGGCCGTTAATTGGCAAAAATCTAGCCTGTTGAATCCTTTTGTGTGGCACCATGTGTGCGTGCGAAGTGATCACAGTTGTTTAAAAATCATCAAGAAACCATCCTGGAAGAGTTCGTGGAAGATCACCAGTGGGTGGAACCGGGTGGAACCTAGCTCATCTATGCTCATCTCGAGCTCCTCGACTTGGTGCTGAATCGACACAGGGTTCGTGAACGGCATAGAGCCTCAACTACACTCCCTGGAATCTTCACATGGAAGTGGATGGCATGGCCTCTTGGAAGACCATGAAATCCTCCACAAACAGGATGTTTTCCACTTCCATGTTAGTACCAGGGAGAGTAATTACTTCTGATCTCACTCACCAAGATTCTACAAGTCCAAAGACACTTTCGTTGCACTTCTTGGTCTTGGACGGACGAAAATATCGATCCTAAAGTCCGCTTGAACATGAATGAACCAAAAGTAGCTCCTCTTAAGCTTTAAACTCCTTGTCCATGGTCTTTAAATCTGAAGCCAGACTCCGATAGAACCTCGATCTGCTCGCCCAAAATACCACCAAAACCTCGATCTGTTCGCCCAAGTAGATCCGTCCCCGTCCGAAAGCGGGGCTCTTCGTTTGCGGGGTCGTTTCGGTCGCACCAAAGATCTGCTCGCCGTTGTTGGACTGGCGAACCTGGTCGGACGGAGGGACCTACGGGATGGAGCCCCCCCCAAAAAAGTTCCTCAAGAGCTGGGCCAAGGGCTTTTTGAATGCTGCTGCCTTCTCTCAACGTTTCAAAATGCTTAAACTAGGTCGCCCCCGGAATGTTCACCCCAGACATCAACGTGTCGCAACACGTGTGCCCCACCAGGCCAGCTGGACGATTGTTCTGGCGCGCCAAACCATCGACTGACTGGAACATGATATACGGGTGCGTCATGGTGTGTTTGAAGAAAGAAAAAGGGAGACCTCTCAGGCAACGACCCCCTTTCCAGGTGGAAATAGAATGAAATAGACCAGTCTACTCGGGCCCTCCCCACCTGCGGCACCCAAAGAAAACCCATCGCCCATCTGAGAGCCCAGCAGGAGCCAAGAAGCTTCTTGTGTGGTCGGGAGCACAGTTGTAGGCGTAGGGGTGAGGCATGCTATAAGGCAATGTCCGGCCCTGCCGCGTCTGGACGGGTCCACGGCGTGCGGTGCCAGATGGTGAACCACATGGTTTGTGGCGAACCACATGGTGAACCACACGAAAAGACGGAGACGTTTGGGTGTCTTTCCATGGAATCCATTGTCCACCAAAGATATTGGGTTTTAGTGAATTTTGGAGAAGATTCTAAGGAGAGTTCACCCTTAGAAGCGATCCGTGAGCTGGGTGGGTTACAGTAATAGCATCCATCCGCGGCCCGGCCTTCAGTGCAGGTGGGGGTGCTAAAGGTCGCGGCTCCGGCAACTGGTATTGGCCTGGACCTGGGCCAACCAGTGTCATGGCAACAGGCTTGAGCAAATCGGAAAGGTCCTATTGAAATGTATCGACTACCCGAGCCAAAGGAATTTGAGTTGATGTTCATCTATATACTTTTCTTTGCTCCTGTCACCAGTTGTTTGCACAAGGGTTGCATTCAAGAACCCAAATGGAGGACGAGACTGGGAAGCTGGCCGGGCACTTCATCTGCAGTCCCAACTGCCTGCTGTTTCTGAGATTTTGAAGTTGAAGCTTCTTGCGGTAGCACCTCTACATCCTCATGGGTTCACATACTTCTGGTCCCTGTCTGCACACCCTGCAGATGCGTTTGCGTGTGTCACAGGCCATTGTGTCACTATGCCTTCTGCAAGTCTGCCAAGGCACCAAAAAAAGAACATTTGTCGAAGGCATCTTCACATGATCAGCTGTCCGGACCACATTCAGTATCACCTTCTTATATATATATATATGAAGACAGTTCGTCGTTCATCACAATTTTTCTAGCCTACGACCTCTCGTAAAGGTGTGCACTCTATAAAATCAAAACTCTCGACCGTGATACACACAAGATCATGGTAAAATGGAGTATCGAGTATTAAAGTGCAGCCTATACAATAGAACCAACAATTCAGAGCCGGAACCGGGTTTTTGTGGAATACCTTGTTCAGGAAACATGAATAAAAAGAATCCGATGTTTGGTATAGAATTGAAGGTTCTAGGCTGCAAATCACCTGCACATCCAGTTCTCCGCCTTCTCAGCAAGCAAAAATATAGATGGGACCCACTACGAGCTTGGCTGATTGGAGCCCATCAAGCCAGGACCCACCCCACTAAACAGTTCCTTAGACATGTATGGGCCGGATATTTTGTCACATACAAGCATCAAATCAATATAGAATCCGAGCACTGTGGTCTCTATAGAATCAGGGTACTTACCTTCTTCCAAAGCAACAAGAAATGTTCGTATGGTAAAATGTGTTTTCCTATGCCCGACACCCATTATTATTTATCGACAAACTTACCCAGGGAATGAGTCAATAGACTGTACACTGTACATGAGTCTACTGTATAGTACTAACTGTACATGTTGCATATTGTAAATATACACCAGCACCCTCCAACAGGTCACCACCTGACACTTTTAAGTCTACAAAAGTCACCAGAGGAGACCTGTTGGAGGGTGCTGGTATATATATATATATGATTATATATTATATATGTATGTATTATGTTGCTGATTCATTCCAAACTCAACCCCTCTTCATCCAAACCCTTGTTCCAGGGAATGAACCCCCCAAAAAAAATCACCGTCACCCAACCCACCGCTGCCTTGGCCACCATGTCTTTGGTCTCAGAGCTGGTGGCACTTTCATATCTGTAGACCACTTGCCCCACAGCCTTGAACTCCACAGAGCCTCCGCTTCGTGGGTCGCGACGAGTGGGTCGTGGGTCAACCCGCCCCGGGCGCGTCCGCGGCACCAGACCGGCCTTTGGCATCATAGCTCCCAGGCGGTGGATTGGCTTCGAAGAGCTTGGGCGCCACGTCGAAGTAGCTGGGTGGTTTATGTGCCTCGAAAAAAAGAACAAACGGGACGGAAGACTCCAACCACACGGAGACTCCGTCCAGGACTGCAAAACGGTTGATTTGCATGGGTTAGATGGGCGTCATGAAATGTCATGAAGCAACACGCAGCAGCCCAAAACCATCCCAAGCTGAGACAGGCACATCCAGCATGTAGCGTCCGCCCTCTGGACAAAATGGTTTGCCCATCTTCGCCCTCAATAAATTGCGTTACACAAATGCCAAAATCCGAAGCGCCATGAATCACCACCAAAATCGCTGCAGAACTGCGAAATCCCTTTGCTTTGGCTGGGTTTTGACACGCGCATTCGCACTTCACTGAGGTTGAGGCCAAGGAGGAGGGACATATGTGGGACCGGGCACAAAGCCCTTGTGCTTCGACACATAGTCCTCACGCGCGTAGCTGGGATGCCTCTCTCGATGCCTCTTTCAACTAGCCCCTTGCATTGTAGAGATTTGATCTGAGCATCTCTCAGGCCTGTTTTTGCCATGTTTTGCCTCATCAGCTGGAGGCCACAATGATTGCATGAACAACATGTAAAAAGAAACAGATGCCAACAGATGCCAACAGTCAGAAGTTAAAGAGCCAGTTGTGGCCCTCGCTTTGGCAAGTTGAAGCTGTTTTCTCCTCGCTTCAGTGGTCCGAAGCGACACCTCCCGAATGCGGTTTCTGAGGCCCTGGAGTCCGGAGTCCACCCGAACCAGCGATGAAATCATCGGCTCCAGAGGTGACACCAGCTTGGAGGTGCTGATCTTCCCATGTGGCTTCGGCCTGGGCGACCGGGTGCGTTCCGCCGACGCCGAGCCGAATTCACAACGGCTCGAGCGAGTTGGAGACGGTCAGACGGTCAGTTTGGAGACCAAAACAAATTATGAAAGGCTATTTAATAGATAAAGAATGATAAAGACTCATGCAACGAAATCTAGATACACTAGAAGGATCTAGAAGGTGCCTTTTGGAGAGGTTCTGGAAGGCCAGAAGAGGGTTAGATTGGTTGAAGATGGTCAAGCAACGGCTCGGCTCTGGAATGCTCTACAAGCACTTGGTCTCAATTCAACGCTACTCAATTCTCATCATAAACTTCAGACCTCGCCAAAGAATTCCACACAACGAACACTCTGGTTCATGCATGATCTGCAAATCCCTCTGATCACGCACGGTTTTTGCGCGCAGGCGTGTCGTCCGATGCTCGATCGGCCCGCAGGCGTGCCGTCCTCGCGACGGCATGCGGAACGGTGTCCACTCCCCGTTCGTAGCGTTCTTGCTCCGTTCGTAGCGATGCCAGGAGCCTCTTTTGGTCTATGAGTCTTCGGAGGTGGTGGCCGACCTATCCAGACATCACAACGTCGACGTGCTTTCTTTCTTTCTTGTGGAATCACCAAAAATGGAGCGCAAAAGCTGATCAAGCCCGCTTCAGGGTGTCACTCCCCACTGGCCTTTTCCGCATCGTCAACCTGTGGAGCAGCTGAGACTGTGTCCTGATGGTGGAGCAGCTGCGCTCTCGCACGGCAGGACTTCTTTGACGCACGGAGGTGGGGAAAAATAAAGTGAAGAAAGCTGATTTAATCAGGTCTGAATGGGTTTGATGCATTTTGATAGGAGTTCTGGGAGCGACCAAATGGAACGATTGGCGGCTTTCCCATCCTCTTGCCATTGCCCCCCCCCACCCTTCGGCCTGGTGCATGTCCACAGTTTCCTCAGTCTCACCGGAGGTGTCCTGCCCAGTTGGCTCCTGCCCTGATTCATGGTTCTTGCTGGACACTCCATCCTCTCCATCCTCTTCTTGGCACTGCTGCTCTGTCGAACACACCTGCTCCACGATCCTCCACGCGTCGCCACCCTGTGCAGCGCCTGCAGCCGAGGCGGCCGAGAGTGCCTGCAGCGCCTCTTCCTCCGGTCCAATGCTCTCAACGAAGTGCTCCTTCTCGATACCCACCGCCCCACCGATGCTTTGGGCGTCGCCGGCGAGCACGTCACCGTCACCGGTCAGCGCGTCCTCGGCGTCCAGCGCGTCCTCGGCGTCCTCGGCGACCCGCTCGGCGTGGGGCTCGGAAGGCCTAGGGGTTGGACTTGGCTCCATGGATCCCGAGGGTTCTTGCGGTGCTTCCGGAAGATCTGGGTGATCAGCTTCGTGCTGAGACTCTGGTGGTGCTGAGAAACCGATCGGCTGGATCTGCTGGTTCTGCACATTTGAAGGATCCCTCTGAACTTCGGATCTGATGTCCTCACTCTCTTCATCATGACCATCATCGACTTGATCGCCAGAGTCTGTCTTCTCCTGAAGAGCCTCATGGCTCCCTTCAAGAACTTCACCACCTTGGACTGCAAGCTGATCTTCATCCCCTCCTTGAACAGCCGAGATCTGCCCTGTCTCCTCACCCACTGAGACCGTCTCCTCACCTGAAAGAACTTCTAGAACCTCTGGATGAGTTGGGTCAGGAGGGTCAGGATGGTTGGCCTCAAGGTCTTTCTGTTCGAGTAGAGGCTCTTGCAGTGCCGCGCGAGGCTCTTCCACTTCCTGTGACTTGAGGAAGCTGCTCAAGCAAGCGAGGACCACAGTGATGCCACGCAGAAGCGCGAAGTAGACGGTGAAGAAGGCCGCTTCACCTCCAAAGAAGGCAGCCCCGAAGGCTAAGGGGGACCAAATGCCCAAAATGCGACCCAGGGCAGGGAGACGTAAACACCAAAGCCAGCAATTCACAAGGACCCAGAAGGCCAAGCGATCTGCGTAGAGCTGCTGATTTTCATTGGCAACACATCTCGCAGATTCTGTTGCAATGCTGAAGAGAAGAACCACGGTGAGCAGCACACTTACCACCGATGCAACTTCCAGGCAAATAAGAACTACAAAAACAGCAACAACAACAAGTACCACAGTGTCGCCTTGGAACATATTGGCAACATAGCTATGCCATGGCAAGCGCTGCAATGCACTCACTGCAACTTGCCGAAAGGCATCAAATACACTCGTGGCGTACTCGATGCAATGGCTAAAGAGCTGAGTGAGGATGGTAAATGCATACGGTGCCAGGAAGCAGCCCTGAAACGCAGCAGGGTTGGGCAATCCCCCTCTTTCAAAGACCTTCTAAACAAGCATCAGCAGCTATAAGCACCAATTGGATACCAAATCCCCCAATCAATTGGGTCTAAAACAGTTAAACACCACTGCGAGTAGAAGATAGTAGAAGTAGAAGCCCAGGCGAGTAGAAGCCCTGCCTTCCAGTACTGGAGCCACAAGGACACAGCAATGAGAAGGCCAGCCGATCCTGACCCTGAGGTGTCCAAGCTCACCAAACTCCACCGCAGCAGCATCATCAGCGGCCAACAGGACCAGTAGGATAACCAGAAGCAGAACTCCTCCTCCAATTCAGCAGACATCCGAAAGCCTTCCTTCAGACTTGGAAGGTATAGTCTGAAGGACCACCACTTCCTGGACTTTTGCGCCTCCTCTTCCTCCATTTGGGCTTTCTCTTCTTTTTCACGATGGTGGCGCACCAGTCCCCGAGCAGTTGCAAACAACGGCCACAGCGTGGCCACCACGATGTAGATCACCTGGGGCACTTGCTGAGGGCATAGGCGAGCCAATTCCCAGATGACCGGGCCCACCACCACAAAGGACAGATGAAAGAGCGCTTGCTGCAAAGATCGCAAGCAGGCCACCGAGCTCTCTTGGAGCCAGACTCTTGCTCTCCAAATGCGTAGAATCACATAGACAGCCCCGCCCAGGCCCATGGCACAAAGAGCAAGGACACCCTTCTCCTCCCAAGACAATGAGCGCCAAAGCCAGAGTGAGGACGAATAGAAATCCAAAAGCAGAGGGCATAGCACATTCCACCTCACATGTCCAGTCTGAAAAGTTGACCATGAGCCCGGCAAGCCAACTTGCTTCTGCTCAAGCCAATTCCCGCCCTTGCTTATGGTGCGAATATATAGATGTTGGATAGATATAGATGTTGGTTTAGAAGAAAGAAATATAATATTTTATAAATGCTGATTGTTTTTTTCCAAATTCGGCAGGAGACAGGTCGTGAAGGGCAGGGACGAAGAAGGCCAACCATGCTGCGAGCATCTCAATAACCGCTCGAATCGCGTCTGTTGTCTTCGTAGCAGCAATTTGTGCATGCTGAACAACTTGGTGCCATGCAGATTGCCCACGTTCCAACTGCCATGCAAACCAACAGAGCCAGGCGACCACGAAGGCACCAGTGGTGCGTGGCCGTCGGAAAAAGCTCCACAAGATCAGTAGCAAAAGGAGAAGCGAGGCACCAATGTCACACAGGAGTGTTTCGTGCCTCTGTACCTCAGGGAGGCCCTCATTACACTTCATCATACAAACGTTCATAAGCGTTCCTTAAAGCGTTCCAAAAGCGCTTTTAGGCACCAGATCCACCATGAACGGCCTCAACAAATCCGGCAAAAAAAAGAAACATTGCGCTTTTAAGGTGCTCCACAACAAACGTCCCCTTTCATCCCCCACGAAACCTTCTTATAACCATTAAAAAACACACAGATATACGCATAAACACTCCGAATATCTCAGAATACTCTCTCCATCCCCGAACACCACTTGGCGTACCAATACAATTTCATCATGGTTCTACACCGTCTCCGAGAAAACCACCGTCCTCCGCGGCCCCACCGGTTCTTCCTACCTGGTCGAAGGCTTTGTTCAGAAGCTGCGCCCAAGGATCCGTCGTGCGATCCGACTCCATCGAGCGCACCGTCACCGCCGCACGGCGCCGGCGCCGCACGGCGCGAAGCGGGGCGCGTTCGTTGAAGATGAGTGACCGGTGCGGTGAATGCGGATGACCGGTTCGGTGCGTCTCATTAGTCGTAACCGTGTCCAGTCTTGCGGATGATAAGGGCAAGGTTCAAGTGGACAGGCAAGCGGCTGAAGGCTAGATGATGCAATGGACTTTGAAGTGAAACTGATGGCTAGTGAAGGTGTTGTTCCCTCCGAGAATTCTGTTTGCATGAATGCCATAGTGATATAGTGGTTTCCCACACCGCAGCATGAGGATTGATTTGGCAACGATGGGATTGGCGATGAAGTTGCTGGCAAGAAGGCATGTGTTTTTTCATATAATCTAACTGGAAATTTGAGTGGGGTTAAAGTAGAGATGTTATTCTGGCAAGGCTTTTTGTAGAACGCTTGAACGCTTGCGAAGGCCGGCGACGGATCAGGCCGGCATGGCCTGAGATAGACAATACCCTGCGCCTGCAAAAAACACATTTATCAATACCGCAAGGCTAAAAAATTAGAAACATCCACTGGATGTATGTGTAATATATTGTAATATATTGTAATGACGTCTGATCACCGGATATTTTTTGCCTGGTGTTTTTTAACCGTCTCTAGAAAGAAACCCGCACGGCCTCATGTTTTCTGTGTTTGGCCTCCATCACCATCTTCCTTTCTGAGCTCTCAACTCAGAAATATCTGGATGCCGAGGATCTACCGGATGGTAAACCTAGGTGGTCACGATGCGGAATGGCGAGGACAAGCTAGCAAGAGATCCAAACAGATTCAAGTCGGCACGTCTGCTAAGCCAATCTGCTGCTGCACTGGGACACCCCACATGAGCAGAAGGTGTGCTGTATGCTAATCGAACTTGGTCTTCAATGCTATGAGGGACAAACTTCGTCCCCCGTGGGGCACCTCACAACGCTCAAGCCAGCCAGCCAGGGCCAGAGCGGGCAGCCACGGCCAGAGAGCGCCAGGGATCGTCAACATATGGGCAACCCCAAAAGAAATGTATACTGTATATTATATATATTATTTGTGGCACGGTTGGAAAAATGCCAAGCAACTGGTCTGAGTCAGGGCCATTCAAAGTGTAGGACCAGAATTTGGTGTACGTGTCCCTGATGCGGCCATTGGAGGTGTTTATGCTGCTTGGCTCTCTGTCCATTGAATGGTTGACTGGTTGACTTCTTGATCTTGTTGGTTACACGATGTCGCCCACACAAGGAGCCTGGAATGCCTGTGGCATGGCCTGAGCGCCTATGCGGAGATGCCTACACGTCTGATTGTGATCGATAGACGGATCACGACGTTGACCAGAAGTTGTCTGTCCTCCCTCCAACCATGGTGGATGTCATGGTCCAAAAGACCAGGTGTTCAATCCTCTACAATGTGGGTATCCGCTTCATCTTCATTCCACTGCCCTTCCGCTTCATGTATCGCTAGAACGAGCAAAAAAAGCAGAATTGACAGGCTGCTGTGGTTTAGTAGAGTCTTGAAACAATCGAAACAATCTCTAGTTGATGGTTTTCGTGGTTACTTGCTTTTTCCAGCCTTAGACTACGGACTCTCTCGGTTCTTTTGGAACATAAAGGTTCACCGTTTGTCACCTCTTAAATGTTTAGGCGGGAGTGGCAGCAGGTGGCAGGTGGCAGGGTGATCCACGAACTTCCTGGATAGAAGTTCAACTATCCAAACACCGACATCGGATGCCAGGAACAACTCGCGCCTGGGCGCCGCGGCCGCAGGGGCGCAGGCGCCGCCATGCCCGGGTGAGACCGAGCAAAGCCAAACGCTGTGAGACCCGGAGGTCCGATGCAGGCAAAAGCTCCAGCTTGCCTTTCAGAAATTGGTGAAAGTTCACACGTGAATACCAGAGAATCGAAGATATTCCAGTTGGTGCCCCAAAAGAATTGCGACATGGCGATGTGTCAGAACCGTCAGCTCACGTCAGCTCACCAGCTCACTCCCACCGTCCCTGGGGAACGGACCTGGTTTTGAGGGATGATGAAAGTCCTTGGGTTTTGATGCAATTCACTGCGGTGATCTGCGGTGTACAAACCATTTCACAGACCGGTGCATCATGTGTCTTTTTTTTGTTTTGGAAGGGCGGCTGACCATTTCACCCTGCAACATCCTGCAACCCTCTTGTCATACCACTCGCGCCGACCAAGCGGAGCCCCTGTTTCGATGCCAGGATCGATGCTTTCGGTGAAACCATGACATTCACTCAAGGCCGACCGCGCTGACTGCGCCCGGCTGCATTCCAGGTCAGCCCGGAGCACGGAGCACGACTCAATTTCCTGGAGGTCAAAAAGTTCACAGCTTCTACCGATGTCTGTCAGTGAGGCTCGCTGCGGTTTTCGCCACAGAAAAACAAGGAGGACTGCTATACATACCCGATCATACCCCTGAAACCAGCGCCGAGCACCACTCCCAAGCTTCCCAAGCTTTTAGTTCCGAGGGCGTCACCCTCCCCCACCCCCCATTTCGTGCGGGTGTCTTATCGCAGGAACGCCTGTGCCCGGGTGCCTCCACAACATCCTTTGCGTTGAGCGGGCTCGTCCTCCGCCACGACAATGGTTCCGCGTGTGCGTCGCCCGCCACCTGCGCCTCACGGTCTGGCCGAGGTCGGGTCGCGGGAGTCGGACGCAGCGGAGCTTCGTCGGCTTTGGGCTTCGGTCCACGGTCCGCAAAGAGCATCAAAGAGCGAGTCGGTCGAGTTGTTCAGTGCATCTTCCAAGTGGGTCAACCCATAGAACATATATAACAAAGAACCTGACAAAGAACCTGATCAACGATGATCAACGGCATGCATCTTTCCCAACAACCCAAGTGGCTCACGCCGGTGTTCGGTCACACCGGTCGCACCTGAGCGCGTGGCCTTGGACGTCAGCACCTTTTCGCCGTGTGAAGCCGAGCTACGTTTGTCGCGTCCGGACGCTGCGAACGTAGCGTCCGGCGCTGGGATAAGTCGTATAGCTTCTTGGTTACTAATGGTAATGCCCTTGTTGCTAGTAGCGATGCACTTGTGATTAGCGTAGCAAGAAGCTGGAAAGCCTTGGAAAAGAAGTCACATGAACTATAGACCATGAACAGTTTGGAGTTCATGCTTCGGTCTTTGAGCTGACTTGTTTGGCGCTACCAAAAGAATTGCATGAGGTTCTGGGATTCAATGGAATACAGAAGCTGGTGTTCTTTTGGAAGACTTGAGAACTTGCTGATGTCTGGCTCTGCAACGCACCAAGATCATGACATCTTCTACCAGCGCACCAAAAGTCTCCTCCACATCATCTTGAGCGCGGCTCGGGAAATAAAACATCAGGAACCTTTGTAGGAAGCATCCGGAATCCTTCCTTTCACCTCACTAGAGGATCTAGAGGGAAACAACATGAATCCAATCGGAAAGGGAAATGGAACAAAATAGATCCCCTGGAAGTCCAAGACCATTAATGGTGGACCTGGTGTGGTAGTGCAAAATCCTTAAAACCATGGTTTTCTTCGGGCTTCCATCCATGGAAACTTTCTGTGGCTCCTCTGACTCGGTGCTCTCTCCGCTCTCTCCGCTCGCGACACGACAGTGCCACTCCTCGACTCCGTGGCCAAGTTTGGCTGATGCCTGAGAGCTGGTGGCGAACAATCGTCGCTGTGACGTCCGAATGGACAGGTCGAATGGTCGAATGGACAGAGACAGTCTTGAACATCCTGAAGCGCTGAGCGCTGACTCATATCTTCTGCTTCTGTCATTTCTTCATCTATCTCCGTCATTCTCATTTCTCTTCACGTCCCTTAGCGCGTGGCCACACTGTGCCTGGCGTTGATGCTCCTCGAAACCCAGCTGGTCACTGGAAACACGTCCGGCGTCCTGCCGACCTGCGCCCCGGCCGGACCGGCGCCTGGCATAGCTTTCGGCGTCCGCTTTGGGAACTCGCGCCTCGGCGGCGTTTCCCCCTTTGGAGGAGGCTGGCGGAAGCGTTTCCGCCTTCTCCAAACTTCTCCAATGGGCTCCCGGCGGGTGGTTCGGCGGTGTTTTTCGTTGGCTTAGAACCCATTGTTTGACTCTCATAGACTGCGACCTCGCGGGTTTGGAGACCTTCTCTAAGAGGTGCCTTTTGAGGGGGGAAAAAGACCTGCTGAAGATTCGGGGGTTCGTGAACTTGCCCCAACAAAAACTGACCCTGCCTGGGACTGCAAGTCGCACTTGTTGCCCACAATGGCCAGGGCGCACTGTGGTCCCTCAGACGGCACGAGGAGTGCGTCGAAAACGCGAAAACACGAACTGCTCGCAGTGTCCAGGGAGTCAAATCTCACCTCTTTTCCCGGCAGTCACGGGTACACCAAGTTGATCCTACCAGGACCTTTCCACCTCTTCAGGATTGGTAAGTGACCTGAAATCAAGGCCTGGTAAGTCACCGACCCGCCACTGGGATCTGATTTCGGCGGTCACTGGGAAGGTGTTGATCCTAGATCCATTTCTGTGGTTCGAATCCAAGTCGAAGTCGGATTTCTTCGAAGAACTTCATCCCTTTTCCACCTCTTCACCGTCCCAACAGGGTTTGCCACCGAGCTGGGTTGAAGTAGTGTGACATCCTTACAAACCCATGGTTGTTCGGTAAACCATAAAACAACCATAAACAACCAACGAATCAACCGTATTGGGTCCCTTGGAATCCGGTGATCGATCGACCTGGGAGATACCTCCATAGAGAGAGACCTCTCGGACCCCCCGGCGGCCACTTGGAGCTCTTCCACCCACTTGGCGACTCTCCTGTTCCATTGGCCGACGCACGCCGGGGCCAAAGGTTCACATGTATAGAAAATGAGCTCGGGGGGCCCCACCCCAAGATTCTCAGTTCATAGGATTTCGAGTTCCTTTATGTGTCTTTCATTTACCTTTATACTTTATAGGCTTATAGACTAAAAAAGGTGATATGAGGTGACTAAGTACATCTAAGTACAGTAGCTTGA